CACTCCCCGCACCATTCACACTTGCCCAGGCGTGGGGGCCCGTAAGTGGGTTTCCCCAGGTAAAAAAAAAAAAATTTTTTTTGGTTTCCTAAGCGCAAAATTTGTGGGGGGTGATTACTACACCCCTCCCCCTCCCCCTCCCCCCGCACCCCAAATTTAGGGACTTCTCTTTCGAATCGTTACCAAATTGTTAATAAAATAACGCACATTCAAGCAAAAATAAAAAAACCTAAAAAGTAACGGCTTTTAACTGATATTTTGCACTTGATCACTGTGAACAAACACTGTTCTGGCAAAATCCACATTCGAAATGGCCGATTGCGTTTATACTTTATAAAATTAATAGATATGTGAAAAATAATCTATTCTGTGAAAGTGAAAATCGATTTTAGTATTCGATATAAATCCGATTTTAAATCCGATTTTGTATTCGATTTGAGTTTCAGTTGAACAGTTATTTAAAAAAATATTAATATACGGTTAGTATATTAATATTTATATAACGTAACCAATCTAAATAATATTTGTTTTTGTGGACAGTTCCGATCTAAATAGTAATTGTTTATTGAAGCCTCGGCTTCTCGGCGTGCTGGTCGCCTTCGGCGACCAAATATTCATATACTAACTCTAACCTAACCAATCTAAATAATATTTTTTTTGTGAACAGCTCCGATCTAAATAGTAATTGTTTATTGAAGCCTCGGCTTCTCGGCGTCCTGGTCGCCTTCGGCGACCAAATATTCATATACTAACTCTAACCTAACCAATCTAAATAATATTTGTTTTTGTGGACAGTTCCGATCTAAATAGTAATTGTTTATTGAAGCCTCGGCTTCTCGGCGTCCTGGTCGCCTTCGGCGACCAAATATTCATATACTAACTCTAACCTAACCAATCTAAATAATATTTGTTTTTGTGGACAGTTCCGATCTAAATAGTAATTGTTTATTGAAGCCTCGGCTTCTCGACGTCCTGGTCGCCTTCGGCGACCAAATATTCATATACTAACTCTAACCTAACCAATCTAAATAATATTTGTTTTTGTGGACAGTTCCGATCTAAATAGTAATTGTTTATTGAAGCCTCGGCTTCTCGGCGTCCTGGTCGCCTTCGGCGACCAAATATTCATATACTAACTCTAACCTAACCAATCTAAATAATATTTGTTTTTGTGGACAGTTCCGATCTAAATAGTAATTGTTTATTGAAGCCTCGGCTTCTCGGCGTCCTGGTCGCCTTCGGCGACCAAATATTCATATACTAACTCTAACCTAACCAATCTAAATAATATTTTTTTTATGGACAGCTCCGATCTAAATAGTAATTGTTTATTGAAGCCTCGGCTTCTCGGCGTCCTGGTCGCCTTCGGCGACCAAATATTCATATACTAACTCTAACCTAACCAAACTAAATAATATTTTTTTTTGTGGACAGCTCCGATCTAAATAGTAATTGTTTATTGAAGCCTCGGCTTCTCGGCGTCCTGGTCGCCTTCGGCGACCAAATATTCATATACTAACTCTAACCTAACCAATCTAAATAATATTTGTTTTTGTGGACAGTTCCGATCTAAATAGTAATTGTTTATTGAAGCCTCGGCTTCTCGGCGTCCTGGTCGCCTTCGGCGACCAAATATTCATATACTAACTCTAACCTAACCAATCTAAATAATATTTTTTTTTGTGGACAGCTCCGATCTAAATAGTAATTGTTTATTGAAGCCTCGGCTTCTCGGCGTCCTGGTCGCCTTCGGCGACCAAATATTCATATACTAACTCTAACCTAACCAATCTAAATAATATTTGTTTTTGTGGACAGTTCCGATCTAAATAGTAATTGTTTATTGAAGCCTCGGCTTCTCGGCGTCCTGGTCGCCTTCGGCGACCAAATATTCATATACTAACTCTAACCTAACCAATCTAAATAATATTTTTTTTGTGGACAGCTCCGGCGCTACGGGAAATGCAGCCCCTCCACCCTTGCGTACCAAAGCACAGGCATTTTATTCAAGCCTCCGCAACCTCGGCTTTTTTGTTAGCCTCTGGCGACCAGCCTCAGCCGCTACAGCTTTCATAATGCCAGTGCTTTGTTACAGCGGGTGGGGGCTGCTCTTCCTCCGCGCCTCCGATTATTTATATACACTCTAGGGGTAAGGTGTCTGCCAGACCACGTGGATAGTGGGCTGCTCTGATTCGGTTTTGGGTACTATTTGAATAATTTAATAATTTTCGGAACCATACATTAATTAAAACATGAAGTTAATGTAATGTATGTACATTTGACAAGTAATGCTTAAATTAGGTTCAACTATAAAATTAACAAATGAGAAAATAATCGATTCGATTAGGTTCAACTTTAAAAATAACAAATGAGAAAATAATCGATCCAATTAATTTACCGAAAATGTCACATCACTTATAACCAATAGAAATCGAGAAAGTCACATCTCTTATAACCAATAGAAAAGTAGTTAGATAATGGCGGATTGTTTATAATTTCAATACAATTGACAAAAGTTAAAAAAAATTTTTAAAATACTTTGACGCTTATCCTAAAGCTAAAATCACTTGGAGGTGTTCCAATCAAGGGTCCCCGAGACTCCTGCATAATCAGTATCATCAAATTCCAACGCATGGATATGGTAATTTTTAAAATACTTTGACGCTTATCCTAAAGCTAAAATCACTTGGAGGTGTTCCAATCAAGGGTCCCCGAGACTCCTGCATAATCAGTATCATCAAATTCCAACGCATGGATATCAACCCCAACCCAACAATTTTTTTAAAGATAATTATAATTTTAATAATACCGAAAATTTCACTGATCATTTATACGAATACCTATGGCGGCGAAACAATAAGAAATATAAAAAAGACCCCTTTTCGGAGCTACTTATAGCAATTAAATATATCTATAAATTAAAATAACACTTTACTATACTCTTATTTTGCTATATTGCTTATTATGCTATACTGCTTATTTTGCTATTTTATTTTGCTTACATATGTTAATTTATTTTTTCATTCACTGCTGCTGAAGAGCTGCTGAAGTGGATAGAAGCCTACTGGCTGCTACCACGACCCGGCTCTACATGCACTATGGATTGGGCCCTGGTGGTTTTAGTGGGTATGGGGTCATCGCATTTTACGACCTTGACCCCCACACTCCCCGCACCATTCACACTTGCCCAGGCGTGGGGGCCCGTAAGTGGGTTTCCCAGGTAAAAAAAAAAAAAAAATTTTTTTTTGGTTTCCTAAGCGCAAAATTTGTGGGGGGTGATTACTACACCCCTCCCCCCCCCCCCCCGCACCCCAAATTTAGGGACTTCTCTTTCGAATCGTTACCCTATAACCACTTACCCAACACCCACGCGAACTTACGACACAAAAAATTGTAACTTGTAAGTTGAAAGCTTGACATATCAAAATGTAACGTTTACCAAAAAATTTGGAAGTTTTATATTTAGTTTGTTACAACTTATGAGCTTGTTATAAGATATATAAACATTTACCGTAAAACAAGATGAAATACTGGTCACTATAACATTTTGCACACACTCTAAACTCGAAAAGCTGAAAGTTATTACTTTAACCACAGCATAACTACATAACCACCTTTCTGTTTAAACTTATGCTAAACTAACACAAGTTACTTAAGTTTTTAAATTTTTAAATCAAGTAAGCGCTAGCTCTGCAGCGCGTCGCATTTTAACTGAATAAGGAGTCAAGATATTTTTACCTGCCAGTAAAAAAAATGTGCACGAAGTCGGTTCATAATTTCATTGTCAATTTTGAATCATATTACCATACCATAAAGTATATTTTCGTATTGATCTTGTAATTGCATTAGTGTTGTCAAAGCTCATAACCGTACAGCGAATATTAAGACTTATTAAAATGGTATAAGGTTTTAAGTTATAAAATACGTTACTATACATCAATATGTGTTTGCATGTAGTAGTGGGCAGTTGTTTAAAATCAAAGTTTTCCAAACTTTTATGTAGTTTTAAAGAACTTCGTGAGATATTTTTATAAATATATTAAGCTTTATTTATTGGAAAAGCATGTAGTAGTAGTTGTAGAATAAGCCTTAATAATATTGTTGTTACGAGGAATGACATTATGAAAACTCAAATTAAACTTAGAATGCTAATTTATTTCAACAAAGCTTTTACTTCTACAAATTACAATAGAAGAATTTAACAATTTCGTTCAAAAATAAAATATCTTTATTACACACACGTTCTACGTAAAATAAGTAGGTAGAAACCTATTTTCTCAATTTAAAATAATTTATCTAGATAATTTTAGGCTGATTCAAATCTTTGATGAACAAACAATAACTCTCGAGTCTTATAAATACAACTTTTTCCATAATCAAGAAAAAAGTTAAACGACACAAACTTTGAGAGCCACTTGCCAGGACCCGTAGACCCAAACTGGTTTTCTCAGTGAAATAATAAAATAACAGGCCTCAATATGAATTAAATCATTTCGGCTTATTATCTAGGCGTTTGCCGAAATCTCTGTGACTTGTTACCAAGTGATAGTAAGTATTCAACTTGCTGATCGGTCACGTTGGAGATCCTAGGTTCGATCGACAGCACAACAAAAGACTCGTAACTTTAAACATCTATGAGTAGAAGTATTTAAAAAAACATCAATCTAGTAATCTCCTCTTTAAAGATTTTGTAACAATAAAACTGCAAAATTGGCACCTTTCCTTCAACAAAAGTGTCTCTACAATCCCTGGTTTTGGATTTCTGTATCTGTAACCTGTGCCTTGCTATTTATTCCTTTTTTAAGAACTCATTTACTTTTACTGCACTTCGATATAATATGTAGTCTACAGTTGGGAAAAATAACTAAAACGAGGTTCTATTTCCATTTACATCTTTATTTCATTTACTACTTAAACTAAAGTTTTCAGATTGCTAAACAAAAATATTAAATTGAATGTTGTAGAGTAACTAGAAGTTGTTGATTTCATGAAGTTTCAAATTAGACTGTTGACTTAGGCTTTGGTTCCCACGCTTCAACTTTCAGTCTAGTTGTGCTGTAGGGTGTGTATTGCCCAGTGGTACCAGATAAATTCTCATTCCAATCATTCATCCATTTGTATTTGGGTCTGTTTGGGTCCTGCAAATATATCAAAAAAATAAAAGTCTAGACAGACACCTGCTAGACATAAGACTAGAATAAATTTATTGAAAATTTGTGTTTTATTAATGATTTAAACTTATTTTCAATTTAAATATTGGTATGACACTTTGAATTAAAAAACTCCTATAAGAATATATTATGCAATAACCCAGTAGAACTACAACTCTTATCGCTTCTGGTCATTATAGTTTGGTAGTTCAGTAGGGACTTACCAAATGTGGTGGCAGATCCGTCTTGTAATGTAGCCAACCGTACCACTCGGCAGGAACCTGAAACAGATTGTGAAACTACTAACGACTTGCCACTATTTAAACTATTTTCAAAAGTCTTAAATATAAATATGTAATATATTTTAGTTACAAATGTATTATTTTAGTTGACCATGAAGATTAATCGAAAAGAAGTATGTGGCTTCTTAAATAATAATAATAATGGCGAGTTGGTTTGATCGAAAGTCAAATTATAATATTAATTTAATTTCTATACAAACCTGACTTCCATCATAATTCATGTGAAATTTGTCTGAGTACTCTACCCAGCGATTTCTTCCGTAAAAATACCGAGGATTTTCAAAGTATTTATTACCAAATTTATCTTCACCTACAAGTGCACCATCCTTAAGCTCATCTTGCCTGCAAAATACATTTAATAAAACTATATAAACTGGGATTTCAGGTAACCTGAAAATTACATAATAACAACTTCACCTATACAGCTTAAACAGGGATCCACGTATTCCACCATTTTGTTTAATAATGTTAAAAAAGGTCGCAACTTTATCAAGCGCCAAGAATTTTGCGATGTTAGACATTTTTCTACTCTTGTTTATTTTTATTAAAGTTGGAAAATCATCATTTGGTGCCTGGTTCTATTTTGTATTGTTGCTACTTGCCACAGACAGATTGCCATTTGCCAGTTATCACTTGCTGACAGCTGATTATTGCAATTTGTGAGATTTGTCATTTAACGTTTTTTTTTATTTATTTTTTATGACCTAGGGGTCTAGCCAAGATGGCTTAACAGTAGTGTATGTAGAAAGTCGAAAACTAAATTTGTATAAAATGACAGCTCGTGTCGACAGTCGGTAGCCTAGGCCCTAAAGGCGTGAGTCGGGATACAATAAGCGACGCCATGACAGTGCTACGAAAAGACACACATTAACGCTTACGCTATTCGGTAGCCAACGGCCAATTAATGTTTCGGCAGTGTAGAAAAAACGGCGTTTCTCCGCCATGTTTTAGCGTGATCTCAAAAGCTGCTGTTTGCAATAATTCAGTACAACTATTGCCATCTTTAATGGCTACCGTTTTAAACACATGTCATATTTTGGACGTTTTAACGAAATGGTTTTAATTTGTTATCTGTATTTTTTTTACGTTCTCGTGTAATTATAATAATTTAAACTAGAGTTAATATTTTTAAGTTAAGAGTTTTAGTTTTTCTATGAATCAATGCGAGGATAACATAATAGACACAGATAAATATGAAAATATCAAGAAAATCAGCAAATTAGTAGAGGTAAATCCTAGTTATATTGGATATCTTTTATTGATATTTATATTGCATGTAAGTTCATGAAATTGTTCTTTAATTTGAAAAATACATATACCATTTAATATTGCATATATTATGTAATCACAAAGTAAAATGATTGTACATTTTATTTGTATATTTCAGATGAGAAAGCAGTCACTAATGAACATAATTAGAAGTTCTAAATATATTTTATTGTAATTATAATAGAAGCTGATAATGATATAATATTGATTTAAATTAATCAAATAAAATGGATTTATACTTTATGAACTTTGGAAATATAAAATCTAGTGAGCAATACTAAGTAATGGTAAGCAGATATTTTCTTTAATTATTTACTAAGTCAATATACTAGAGAAGTTATTATAATATTGTTAATGAATGAGAAGTTTGAAATCAAGTCCCTTGGGAGTTACTGACATTGTTTGGTTATTAAAAACTTTAATTGACAATAAGCAGCAAAGTGACAAATTAAGTATATTTTTAAGTTTAGAATTAAGTAAAGAGTTTTAATATTAAAGTTACCTATTGAACAAACCTTGGACCGATCTTACAGTTTAGTTTGTCAGTTTTCTATTTGATCAAAGTACTAACTAAAATATTTTCTTTTCAGAAAAAGAGAAGCTAATAAGACAACTAAAAATATTTAAAAAAAACCACAAATGGACAAGTTTTATTAAAGTCTTATCTTTTAATTAATTTAAGTGTTATATTATGTACCTGAAAATGGGGAATGAAGCATTTTATGAATAATGTAAAAAATAAGACAAGTGGAGTATGAAATAATGGTTGTTTAAGTAACATTACCTCATGAACAGGAAACAGTAACTGAAACTATGTTCTTCCACATTTAACCTTAATAAGTTCAGCAGTTTGAATGTTAATGAGATATTATTATAAACAAACTGGATTTGTAGATTTTGGGAAGAATTATCTTTAAAATAACTATTATTATTTACAATTGTTGTGTTAAGGAAACAATCACTGTTTTTTTAATCGCCCAGGATGTATTCATAGTAACTGTAGGTATCATAGTAATTTTATGAAATCATCACAACATCTAACGTTAGGTTTTATGAATTGAACAATTTTTTGTATATTGCACACAAACAAGATATTGACTTTGCTGCAAATTAACACTTACATTTATTAGTTAATTATCTACATATATAAATATGAATAATTGAATACATCTACATTTGGTAGTAATGCATTGAATTTGGTGCACCTGTGTGTGTTCAGTAGTAATGTCTGTATTGTTTAATAAGTTGTTACATATGCTTATTTTTCTATGTAGACTGCATTATGTTAAGGAAGATATTTGGTGCCTTATTTTAATAAAAAATAACCATAACTGAAACATTTTTATTTTGCTACCTATTTGTTTAATATTCCTAACTATTAGTAGGTACGGGTCATTCATATATGCATTATCTGTATATTCTTGTAAAATAAACTAATATTGTTAACCACTTTAATGGCTTTTCCTACTAAAGAAGACATAGGTAAATTACCAAAAATAAAACTGACAAATACATAACATACAATGTTTATTAATTTCTTACTTAAACAGATTTTGCATTTACATATTAACTAGTAGCAAATCACTGACATAACCAAAAGTTAATTGACATAAATATTAACTTAAAATCAGCATCAAACTTAAATTTATATCTAAGATGTTGGAGCATCAATATGGAATCAAAGGTTGAGTAAGGCTTATAATTTCATACCAGACTAAGTTTCTATTTTATAATTTTTATTAATCCCTCTTTTCATTTCATTGAGTACTTGCTGCTTTTCAATTCTCACTTTCTAAAAGTATAAATTTATTATAAACAATCAACCTTTATGACTAACTTAAACTAAAATTGTTTGTTGGACATAAACAGAGATAATTCCACCTAGTAGCAAATCACTAATAAAATCTACACTTATATATAAATCTGCTTTCAAATTGACATTAAAAATGTTCAAGCACAAACACCAAACCTAATTAAAGCTTAAATCAAACTCTAATTTCAGTGTTCACACTAGTTTAAACAGTTGTAACAAAATATGTTGCTTCTTCATTTTGCAGATTAGTTGTGAGGTCAAATCCTAAAAATATCAAAGTATGAGTACTACTAATTATTATATATCGCGATTATGCAATTTCAAAATATGGTATTTATTTGTAGCCTTAAATTTCTGAGAAAACATGAAACAAACCATAAGTAATTTAAACATGCAATTAAAATTCATATATTCACTTTACACCTTCCGTAAATTCCACTTAAATCGAAAATTGTTCCGACCTTGCTGACATTCTAATGTCCCTTTTGCAGCTTCCAATAATTGGAATTTGCAATTATTGCAAATTAACAATAATATTGTAGTTTTAACTTTTATTTGTTTATAAAAGTGACATTAGGAATACATTTAATCCAGAGACAATATGACGGAATAAGGTGCTACGAACAGCAGCTCGCATCTACGCTGTCGACTTTGCGGTAATGTATCGACATGCCTCTTGGCTACGAACGAAGCGTTTTCGACAGTACAATTACGCAAAAGCGGTAGTGTATGTAGAATACTTTTCGACACCAATATGGCTAGACCCCTGGGGTCTAGCCAAGATGGCTTAACAGTAGTGTATGTAGAAAGTCGAAAACTAAATTTGTATAAAATGACAGCTCGTGTCGACAGTCGGTAGCCTAGGCCCTAAAGGCGTGAGTCGGGATACAATAAGCGACGCCATGACAGTGCTACGAAAAGACACACATTAACACTTACGCTATTCGGTAGCCAACGGCCAATTAATGTTTCGGCAGTGTAGAAAAAACGGCGTTTCTCCGCCATGTTTTAGCGTGATCTCAAAAGCTGCTGTTTGCAATAAAACAGTACAACTATTGCCATCTTTAATGGCTACCATTTTAAAAACATGTCATATTTTGGACGTTTTAACGAAATGGTTTTAATTTGTTATCTGTCTTTTTTTAACGTTCTCGTGTAATTATAATAATTTAAACTAGATATAATATTTTTAAGTTAAGAGTTTTAGTTTTTCTATGAATCAATGCGAGGATATCATAATAGACACAGATAAATATGAAAATATCAAGAAAATCAGCAAATTAGTTGAGGTAAATCCTATTTTATTGGATATCTTTTATTGATATTTATATTGCATGTAAGTTCATGAAATTATTCTTTAATTTGAAAAATACATATATCATTTAATATTGCATATATTATGTAATCACAAAGTAAAATGATTGTACATTTTATTTGTATATTTCAGATGAGAAAGCAGTCACTAATGAACATAATTAGAAGTTCTAAATATATTTTATTGTAATTATAATAGAAGCTTATGATATAATATTGATTTAAATTAATCAAATAAAGTGGATTTATAATTTATGAACTTTGGAAATATAAAATCTAGTGAGCAATACTAAAAAGCAGATATTTTCTTTAATTATTTACTAAGTCAATATACTAGAGAAGTTATTATAATATTGTTAATGAATGAGAAGTTTGAATTAAAGTCACTGACATTGTTTGGTTATTAAAAACTTTAATTGACAATAAGCAGCAAAGTGACAAATTAAGTATATTTTTAAGTTTAGAATTAAGTAAAGAGTTTTAATATTAAAGTTACCTATTGAACTAACCTTGGACCGATCTTACAGTTTAGTTTGTCAGTTTTCTATTTGATCAAAGTACTAACTAAAATATTTTCTTTTCAGAAAAAGAGAAGCTGACAACTAAAAATATTTCAAAAAAAACACAAATGGACAAGTTTTATTTAAAGTCTTAATTTAAGTGTTATATTATGTACCTGAAAATGAATTTGATAATGGGGAATGAAGCATTTTATGAATAATGTAAAAAATAAGACAAGTGGAGTAAGAAATAATGGTTGGTTAAGTAACATTACCTCATGAACAGGAAACAGTAACTGAAACTATGTTCTTCCACATTTAATCTTAATAAGTTCAGCAGTTTGAATGTTAATGAGATATTATTATAAACAAACTGCATTTGTAGATTTTGGGAAGGATTATATCTTCACAATAACTATTATTATTTACAATTGTTGTGTTAAGGAAACAATCACTATTTTTTTAATCGCCCAGGATGTATTCATAGTAACTGTAGGTATCATAGTAATTTTATGAAATCATCACAACATCTAACGTTAGGTTTTATGAATTGAACAATTTTTCGTATATAACAGCACACAAACAAGATATTGACATTGCTGCAAATTAACACTTACATTAGTTAATTATCTACATATATGAATACATCATTAGGTAGTAATGCATTTAATTTGGTGCACCTGCGTGTGTTCAGTAGTAATGTCTGTATTGTTTAATAAGTTGTTACATATGCTTATTTTTCTATGTAGACTGCATTATGTTAAGGAAGATATTTGGTGCCTTATTTTAATAAAAAATAACCATAACTGAAACATTTTTATTTTGCTACCTGTTTGTTTAATATTCCTAACTATTAGTAGGTATGGGTCATTCATATATGCATTATCTGTATATTCTTGTAAAATAAACTAATATTGTTAACCACTTTAATGGCTTTTCCTACTAAAGAAGACATAGGTAAATTACCAAAAATAAAACTGACAAATACATAACATACAATGTTTATTCACTTCTCATTTATACAGATTTTGCATTTACATATTAACTACTAGCAAATCACTGATATAACCAAAAGTTAATTGACATAAATTTTAACTTAAAATCAGCATCAAACTTAAATTTATATCTATTATATCTAAGATGTTGAAGCATCAATATGGAAAGATCAAAGGTTGATTAAGGGTTATAATTTCATACCAGACTAAGTTTCTATTTAATAATTTTTATTAATCCCTCTTTTCATTTCATTGAGTACTTGCTGTTTTTCAATTCTCACTTTCTAAAAGTATAAATATATTATAAACAATCAACTTTTATGACTCTAACTTAAACTGAAATTGTTTGTTGGACATAAACAGAGATAATTCCAACTCGTACAGTAGCAAATCACTAATAAAATCTACACTTATATATAAATCTGTTTTCAAATTGACATTAAAAATGTTCAAGCACAAACACCAAACCTAATTAAAGCTTAAATCAAACTCTAATTTCAGTCTTCACACTAGTCTACGTTTTTTTCTATTGTTTTTTAATTCCTTGGACTTTATCAACTTCTAGTCAACCTTATTTTCACTCTTTATTTATCAATCCACAGTACTATTTCTATTGTTTCTTCTAAGCGGTAACAAAATATGTTGCTTCTTCATTTTGCAGATTAGTTGTGAGGTCAAATCCTAAAAATATCAAAGTATGAGTACTACTAATTATTATATATCTCGATATGCAATTTCAAAATATTGTATTTTTTGTAGCCTTAAATTTTTGAGAAAACATGAAACAAACCATAATTAATTTAAACATTCAATTAAAATTCATATATTCACTTTGCACCTTCCGTAAATTCCACTTAAATCGAAAATTGTTCCGACCTTGCTGACATTCTAATGTCCCTTTTGTAGCTTCCAATTGCAAATTTACAATAATATTGTAAAGTTTTAACTTTTATTTGTTTATAAAAGTGACATTAGGAATACATTTAATCCAGAGACAATATGACGGAATAAGGTGCTACGAACAGCAGCTCGCATCTACGCTGTCGACTTTGCGGTAATGTATCGACATGCCTCTTGGCTACGAACGAAGCGTTTTCGACAATACAATTACGCAAAAGCGGTAGTGTATGTAGAATACTTTTCGACACCAATATGGCTAGACCCCCTGGTAACATAGACCTTTAATCTTGTGACTTGTTTGATGTGACCACAGATTCACACTCGACGGCAATAATGTGCTTTGTGCATCAGTGATCAGGGGCCTTAGTCAAGATGCCTTAACAGTAGTGTATGTAGAAAGTCATAAACTAAATTTGTATGGAAATGACAGTTCGTGTCGAAAAGTTTTCATACAAATTTAGTTTTTGACTTTCTACATACACTACTGTTAAGGCATCTTGACTAAAGCCCCAGTCTTCCAAGTTCCAGATCTGTAGAATACTTTTTAGGTTATAACTTATACCTCAGACTCAGACGGCAGACCTAATACTTAGCCCTTAGGTATATTAGGTACCTAATACAACTAACTTATGTTAACATATTTTTTTTATAACTAATAACTATATTATTTCGGAATCTGAGAGAGTTATGATTGAACAACATGGATTTCGCACGTAAACAGCTTGAAAAGTATGGCTGGACTGACGGTAGGGACAGCTTACAAAGTTTATAAAGTAGTCGATCAACATTTTAATTTTTAATCGTTTTCAGGCAAAGGACTTGGTAAATACGAAAATGGCATATCTCAGGCGTTGAAACCGAAGCTAAAGCGAGGTGTTACAGGTATAGGACATGATGCTGCAGCAGAATTTACAGAACATTGGTGGACTAAACTGTACAACACTGCAGCCAGTAATGTTGAAGTAGGTTTGATGTTTTATATAATAAAAATATTGTATAAATGGTTTGCTTGACTTAGTAAAATGTCCAGGTCACAGAAAAAAACGGAATAACAAAGAAAATTAAAAGCAAAGATGATGATTTTGAAATAACCAATTCCACATGGTCTTATAAAAAGAAAAATAAAACAAAATCAAAGGAAGAATACACTAACTTCTTTGTAAAAACATCCATTCTAACTAATGGAAGAGTAAAAACTGAAGATTTAGAAGAAGCAGAGAATGTAGAGGTTAACAATGGGGATGTTGTAAAACTGACAGATGAAGAGTTATTTGCAGCTTGTGAAGGAAGGACAGCACATAAGTATGTAACATTTAATTTATATATTAATAAGAAATTGAATTTGTAATAATATAATCATGTATTGGCTACCCTGATCATTTTTCATAATAGTTTAATAGGCAAAAACCTTACCTGAGGTTTTAAGTGTTGCAATATACCTGTTGTGTTTTGGGGCGACAGGTCCTGCAGAAAAGATTTATAGGTTTATACCTATTAATTTTAATAGGCCTATATTTTTGAAAGTCAGAACTTAGTAGCCTTTTTACCCTTTAATTTGTTTTTCACAGGGGTGCCCGTCATGGAGTAAAAGCTTTGGGAAAATTAGCAAGAATTGAGATGCAAGAACAAATGTTGCTGCAACAAACAAAATACAATGGATATTCTAAAACAAAGAAACATAAAGCTAATAATACAGTTGAAGATGGAATTATATTAAATAATAGTGAAGACAAAGACAAAAGACAGAAAAAGAAAACAAAGGATGACTGTTCAAGTCATACAGAGGTCAGTGGATGCACAGAAAGATTTAAACACATAAAAGATAAATGGACAAACAGTACAACATTAGAGGTAAATCCGTACAATACTGCAGAAAGTGGAGGCATCAAATGTGGAAAAAAGAAAAATCAATTACTCACACATGACACTGAAACAAATGTAGAATGTACCCCATTAGAAGTAAAGAAAAAGAAAATAAAAAAGTGTAAGCTAAAAACAGATAAACCGGATGATAATGAAACAATAAATGTACAAGAAACACCTATTAGAAATAATGATGGTAATAATATTGTAACAGTAGAGAAGCGAAAAAAAAGTGATGTAATGGAATATTTAAATGTCGATGTAAAGGCCAAGAAAAGTAAAAAAAAGTCTAAATAACTTTCGTTACATTTTATTATGTATTTTTATTGCATCATATATATATCTATAAAAATAGAAAAGAAAGGCCTTGGGAACAGTTTTAAAATTTATTAAAATTACTCATAGAATAGGTACAATATTTAAATACTCTCATTTGTACTATAATTTTCATATAAAAAAAAGTAATATCAACCATAAATTGCACCATATGCCCTTTAGTTATTTGTATCTATCTGTCTCATTGTAAAGCCATGTGCATCTTATTACGTACAAGAAGACTATTTCTTTAACAATTCATCCAAATCCTCTAATGTGGCCTCATTATCACTGTAAAAAATTTAAAAAAAAATGAATTTATTATGCCAATGCTTTCCATTTAGAAAATTGAATAAAGTAATTTTAAAATAATAGCCACAAACAAAATTTTTCAAGCATTCAATACATTTAATAGCTTCAAGAAGCAGATATTTTTTACATCTAGACTGATGCCTAAATTTTCATGTCTATGAAGGCTTATGTTTAATTTCAGAATAGTAATCATGTTTTGGATCACGCTTTGACCTTTCCAAATATTTTAATCCATGCGCACCACTAGAGGAATAGTTGTCATAAAGCTGTTTTCTTAAAAGATCTGATCTGAAGTTTTTCAAGAAATATACCCAACACTTCATTATTTCTTCTTTGTTTGTCCCTCTGAAATGAATATGTAACTTATAAAACTCTGAGGTCTATATCAAACAGTTTCAATGACTGGACAACCATACATACTGTGTCTTGACAATAATGTCATCAATTTCTCTGATATACCACTTTGGGTGATCCTCTAATATATCAAGTTTACTAAGCATCATATCATCAATAGTGAAAATTTCACCTGTAACAAGAAGTACAAATAATTAACATCTTACAAAACTATATTTAACCCTTATAAAAGGTGTCTCATGGCTATGTTTTTGATAGTCACTTTCACACTTTGGTGTCTGACTCAGCAGTGAAATGCCTACCATGTGAGAGGACTAACCATTAATTATTGACAACCCTCAAGGAGTAGAGAGATAAAATAAGAGACCAATAATGTGTGGTACTTCCAACAATTTGTACCCATTTTGCCAGTTGAACTGGCCTTAAGGCCTTATGCGCTCAGTAATGAAACTTAAAAATATAATTTGCTATTTTCATTTAGGTTTAGACGAGGTAGGTGTGATTTAAAAATTTATAACATTTAAAGTTAAGTAACTTGTCATAAATGTGACAATAAAATTTTGTGTATCTTGTATAAATAAATAAAACTACTCTGCATTAAAGCAGAGTCTAAAACACTCTATGAAGCTTTAAAGACAGTTAAATAAAAGTAATAAGAAATAAGTGTGAATTTGATGATTATATGCCGAAAGAATATTCATATCAATAATTAATACTTTCTTAGAATGTTTTAAAAAAACTATAAGATTAAAAAAATACCTTTGACATGATGCCCATCACCAGGACTGTACAGTAAAAAGGGTATGTTATACTTTGTTGCAATAATCAGAGGGTATTTATTCTTTGTATAGCCTTCACATACAAATTTTCCACTTCCATTGTCTGGATTTGTTAGCCAATGGTAATTTGGTTCTTTGCGTTTGAGAGTTCCATAAACAAAAACCTGGTGTGACATCTGAAATTATGTTACTCCTATTGAAATTTATTTTCTAAAAAAATATGTTTACTTTACTTTTGTTACTTTGAACTAATTTATCTTTGAAATTACTACTATTACTTTGAAATTATGAAAGACTTGTGAATTAATAGTATATTGACACTACTGAGAAATTATAAAATCAATTCATAACTTTCTACCTTTCGTATTAAGTCCTCTTTAACTAACAGGTGTCTAAACAATAGTAAATTGAAGAAAATAATCATGTAAATAAACAATCTAATAATATTTTCCCAACAAAATAAAATAAACAATTCAGGGGGAAAATAGTAGGTTTGTTTTTAATTCTATTTTTTTTTTGGAGTTTATGGCCTGGTATCTAGACCTTTAGGCCAATTTTTAATTCTATCATAATACATTCTATCAGACGATGTACGTACTTTAAATTTGACAAGTTCCACAAACCTTAAAGCACAGAGTACATTATACAATAGGATGCCTGAAAGTTATCAATATCTACGACCAACCAAAAAGTATGTAATCACTTCGTTTTTAGTGATAAAAAATAAAATTGATAAAGAATGGATAAAAATAGATATTACCTTGGTTTGGATGTTTATAATCTGAGCAGTAAAAATAGTTATTAATGACGAGAAACACCTAGTAAATAAAATAAATTAATAGGCTGAAGGTGTTTGAAAAACGTATACCCCTGTTTCCACAATATACAAAATTTAATTGAAAAAAAAATTGACAAAATAACATAAACATTAAATTCTATAATTTTATTTAACTAACTAAGATATGATAAAAACTAAGAACATATATAACTTAAGTTTAGTTTCAACTCAGGGTTTTTATTGTTCCAATCTAAATATGCGATCTTATCCATATTGTAATTTTATATGTTGAAGCAAGCTATGACCATTTAGGTAGGCTTTAGTCTATTCCGACATTCAAAGAATAGCTGTGTCTTGCGGTTTTATCCTCATTAATTCGGTCGTAGTATAATGTTTGTAATGATGTATAGTATAGCCTTTCTCAGTAAACGGACTATACATCACATAATTTTTATAATGTTCTTGAGATCTCTTAGTATGTATATGTCTATCTCACTCGGTCGACGCAAAACTTTTTTTTTTTTTTTTTTTTAACTTTTTGGCAACAGCTTCAACTTTATGCCAGTTTCAAGTAAAAGGTTGGGAAACTACACGCGAAATAAAATAAACAAAGACATCAACAGGAAATAAAGGGATAAGCTGGTTAAAAACAAAATATGTACAAAAACATATTACATCTTAATATTATTATAGATTATGAAAGAAGATAATACATTATAATACAATAAAGGATAAAGCAAAAGGCAGGAGATTTTAGTCGGAAACGGAACATGAAGTGATTGTAAAGAATTCAGAAAGGAGGTACGGTCATATTGGGAACAAGAAAAGAAAATATGGTCGAGGTCACCAATATCTTCTCCACACTCACAAATATTACTATCAACAATACGAAGCCTTGCTAAATGATGAGGTGTACAAACATGTCCTAAACGCATTCGGGAAATGATAGAAGTGACAGTTTTAGAACTTTTAACCTCAAAGAACCATGGTCTACTGGGGATCCTAGGTTGAATTTCAGCATAATGTTTGCCTTTGAACTTGCTGCTTCTCAACCAAACATCATTCCATGACTCCCAAAGATGGGTTTTCGGAAGAGCAGCTAAATCATGACAATAATTGATGTATGGGACTATGTCTCCATCCTTTATAGCTTCTTTAGCAAGCTCATCGGCTTTCTCGTTTCCTTTAATCCCACTGTGACTTGGAATCCATGCAAAGATAACGGTGTAATTTCTTTGAGAACATATTAAAAGCTTATCACGTATTTCGCAAATAATAGGATAACAAAATTTCATTTGGAAAGGAGATTTTTCAAGAGATTGTAGTGCACTTTTTTGAGTCTGAAAATATGATTGTTCTTTTAGATTTTAATAAAATAACTAGTTCCAAAGCTTTTAAAAGAGCAAAACACTCTCCAGTAAAAACTGAGGATTCAGGAGGAAGTTTAATCTTTTGAATTATTTTATGTTGCCAATGAATTAGACCAACTCCAACACAATCATCAACAGATATTTTAGAGGCATCTGTAAAAATATAATCCCAACCTTCCCAATTTTGTTCCTCAACGCTACTTATGAAACGAATATTTGTTTCCAGAATATCTTGCTTACAGACGCCTATATTATATCTTATATCCGGATCAAGAATTAAAGAATTGAATTGTGTCATAAATATGGGTAATGATGGAGATCGATGAATGCGGCTGTGTAATGTTAAAAATTTACGAAAGCTTATTATTAGACATGGTAATGATTTGTGACGCCAGTAACGGGATGTATGAATAATATTGTTCAATTCATGCAGTTTTCTATGTAGAGGGTGGTTAGAAAACTGCATAGATTTGAACAAGAATCGATCACTTAAAAATTGCCTTCTTAATTTTAAAGGAGGATCGCAGCATTCTACTTGTAAAGCATTGGATGGGCTTGATTTCATTACTCCTGTCACAATTCTCAAAGCTTTTGACTGAATGACATCAAGTTTTTGACTTCCCAAGACACTTCCTCCATCTAAGAAAAATGTGCCATAATCTAAAACAGATCTTATAAGAGCGTTATACACAAGTTTCATAGAAAACGGATGAGCACCCCACCATACACCTGAAAGGCATTTCATGATGTTAAGCAGCTGTGCACATTTCATAACAACATGTTCATAATGGGCAAGTCCAGACAATTTTGAATCCAATACAACTCCTAAAAATTTAATTTTTGTTTGGAGTGGCAAAGATTGACCATTGAAGGTCACATTTATTATAGGAGTTGTGCGTTTTTTGGAAAATACGACTATAGAACTTTTGGAAACTGATAGATCTAGGTCATTTTTAACTAACCAGATATTAAGACAATTAAGTGAACTAGACATGGAATTGCAAGCCTTAACCACAGATTTATCAACGGAATAAAAAAGAAGATCATCTGCATATTGTAGCACATTTATATGGGAATTTATAGATAATTCTAAATCATACGTGTAAATATTATATAAAAGTGGGCTTAGTACCGAACCTTGGGGAAGGCCTTTAAAAACTGTACGCTTTAACTCGGTAATATTACCATCTTTCTGAACGATTAATGATATGTATCTGCAGGATAGTAAATTGATGATAAAATGTATTAATAACGTAGGAACCTGTAGCTCTAATAATTTGTGTTGTAGAATAGAAATGTTCACATTATCATAGGCGGCAGAGATGTCCAAAAAGGCAGCTACAATATCTTCATCACGCGAAAAAGCTATGCGAATATCTGTGGTTAATATAGCTAAATTGTCTATTGTAGATTTTGACTTCCGAAAACCGTATTGACTATTGGCTATTAAATTATTGTTTTCTATAAACCATTCCAAACGATTCTTCACAAGATGTTCAGCAATTTTAGTTAAAACGGAGGACAACGCAATAGGCCTATATGAGGCAACATCATTGGTAGGTTTGTTAGGTTTTTTAATCGCTATAACTTCTTGAGACTTCCATGTTTCAGGAATATTACCTGTGACCATGACGGAGTTTATTAAATTTAAAAAATACATTAAGGCAGTATCACCAAGATGAGATAAAAATGAGTACATAATACCATCCTGACCAGGAGATGAATCCTTAACATGTGAAAGCACACCTTTCAATTCATGTAATGAAAAAGGAGAGTTTAAAGAGGAAGAGTCATCTGTCAAAGACGATTCCAAAGGAAAGTAGATCGATTCAGCAGCTGATGGAGGAGCTAATCTGTCTAAAAAGGCATTGGTTAAAAAAGGGGGAAGTGAAGACGATGATAAAGATTCTTTGAAAGCAGATCGAAAACGTTTAATACTTGTCCAAACTTCTGAAGGGCACGTAGAAGGAGATAAAGAAGTACAAAAATTTTTCCAGCCTGCCTGCTTTTTATCTCTGAGGAATTTACGTGTGGTACTAATAACTTCATTGAGAATATCTAAATTTTCATTGGACATGTCCTCAGCATAGACTCTCTCAGCTTCCTTTCTTCTGCTTACAGCAACCATACATTCTCTATCCCACCATGGAGGAAAAGGAATCTTATTAGACGGATTTCGTTTGACAGAAAAAATCTGATCAGCAGATTCTATTAAGCATGTAGCCAAAGCTTTAGAGGAATTGGTCTCACCACCGCTAACTAATTCAGGCAAATCATTTATTTTAGATTCGACAAGGCTTTTAAATGCAAGCCAATCAGCATTATTTAATTTATATTTCACACGAGGTTGTCGTTTTTGATAAGGAGAGCGTCTAATTGGTGAGGATATGATAATCGGGAAATGATCACTGCCAAAAGTAGATGATGAAGTGTACCAAGAACGAGAAGAAGCAAGATCTGGAGTACAAATTGATAAGTCAACCGCGCTAAGCTTTTCATTAGGCTTTGTACGTCTGGTTGGTGAGCCAGTATTAAGTAAACACAAATTATGTAAATCTAATATTTCAACTAAACGTACACCATTGGAGTCAGTAGTGCTACAACCAAACATTTGGTGATGAGAGTTAAAGTCACCCAATAGAAGGAATGGACGACTGAGTGAAGAAAGTAAATTATTAACGCTATTGAGAATAACAAAAGAGGAACGAGCTAAGTAAATGGAAACTATAGAAATATTATCAATTTTTATGCCGACAATATTAATGGCATCATTAGAGATTAATGAAGAAAACGCTATTTCAGAAAAATTAATTGAGTTCCTGACAAGTAACGCTACGCCACCATGGCCATCAAATCTATCATCACGCAAGCAGGTATATCCTGGGATCCTTAATAGGTACCCTGGCTTCAACCACGTTTCAGATAACGCAACAACAACGGGAGAATGTTTATTTATCAAATATATCAAATCATGTTTCTTTGGAACAACACTCCTGCAATTCCATTGAATTATCTTGGAATCCATTGTTTTTAATAACATTAACTGATTTAATTTTTTCATTAATAGAGGCAACGTGGGACGGTTTCAATAAGTTTGAGTTTATTAAACTAGTTAATAATGCTAGTATCATTTCTAATACATCAGATTTTTCTTCTTCTTTATTTTTGTGTCCAACCAGAGCACTGCCATTTTTAGGCTCTGGAACTTGGAAGTCTTTTAAAACATTATTATGCGCAACACGATCATAACCATGTTGTGGTTTACGAGGAGAGCGA